AATAAGTGATTGTGAATATATATGGTTTTATGAAAAAAGGAATAAAAAACAAGAAAAAAGAAATGGATGTTTTGTTAGTTGGTGGGGGGGGGGTGTGAAGAGAGATTGGGAGGTGAGTTGATGGGGGGAGGGGGGCAAGGGGGGGGGGGGGGGGGGAGCTTATAAGTCACTGGTGGATCCATAGGAGGAGCCCGGGGGACCCGCTCGCCCCCTATCTGAAGATCTGGATCCGCCACTGTAAGGGAAGTTTCAATCCCCGGGGGAGAAAAAGTAAAGTGAATTCTCACCGCTAAACACCAATGCATTCCTAAATGAACAGGAACAAGGACTAAATCCATAGCAAATATATCAACCTGGAAATAAAGTAGATAGATAAATAAGTCAGTTATTACCGTAGGACGGGAAGTACTAACTACAAATAATTCAGCCTGTTCTCGTGAGACATGTATAATCGGGACAAAGCATAGAGTTACATACTGTACTGTTTCATGGCTAATAAAGGGAAATGGGTATAAAGTACGTCAGACTTTTATTGATATATGTTTTTAGTACATACTTAAACAATGGATAGTGTTTTTCGCGCGCTCTGATTGGCAACTCAAACTCCGGATATCCAGTGCTATTCACTGGTTCATTTGTTGCGGCTAACTTGTCATCACTATCCCGAATATCTATTTATTTGCCAATCCCGTACCCCGTAATCGTTTTCTCGAATCCCGATTGTATTTTGGTCAAATCCCAGGTCCCGGGAATACCCTTTCAGGATCTGCTGACCTGTGGCAACCACAGAGTAGCAATTCACTGCTGGAATTCGCATTACCTTCTTTGTCCAACGCCTAAGACTTGCATAGCCGGACTTGATGAGTTTGGGATAAAAGAACGAATTGAACGCATGCACTTTAACTTTGCCTTGTTGGTTACTTCTTTCCACTAACAGGTTGAAGTAGAAGTTGATGACCTATAAAAAAAGGAACAAATTAATTCAGGAAATAAATTTTTTAGAGTACAATAATTATCGTTGACTTAAATAAATACAGGATAATACCTGAGACCCGAGGCTTTCTACATATAGTTACGTGAAAAGTTAAATACGATGATTTGTTTCGTTTAATTTCAAAACATACCTCGTCGTTGAGCCAGTTCAGATTACCAAGTGTAGCGATATCACTGCGTTTAAGAGTGACTCGGAAACCTTCCACAAGCGGATCATCAGGGTAGCCTGGAGCCAAGGCGGCGTCCACCTGATCAAAAAAAAACATGGTTGTCTTTAGCCATGTCTGATTACACCTTGTCGCCCCTAGCAACAACTTTCCCCTGGATGGGTGTTTACAACCGAACGAGGAAATGTTGTTAAGGGGTTTCGTTTCAGGCCGGATGCCGAACGCAACGTGCCATTATTCGACATGTAAAGTTTGAAAATCGTTTCTTTTTTTTTCTTTTATTAATCAAAGATAGATTTTACACCTATTATAAGAAAGCGAAAACCTGCAATACGATAATTATAATTGTCAAATCAAATATTTCATTTTTGGCGAGCATTTTTAATGTCTTAAAAGACCTTTCCGGTTAATCAATTCCGGTCCAGGGAACACACGAAATTGCATTTTAGAGAGTCCAATTTTAAAAATTTCCCACGTGATTATGCTCCCAGACCCCGCTCGAGGTTCGTGCCTCCGGCACTCACCGTTCGCGCCTGAGACACAACAAACGGTACAGGTCCGCCAGCTGAATCTCTGAATCCGGTACTTCCAAATGCTACCGAAAACTCCTTATTCTGATAACATTAATTGGGAGCCGATTATCTTCTGTAACCGATCATTCAAAATGTACAAAAATAGTCCAGTGTCTCCTTCCGTGGTGTTAAACGCCAATCATAACGGTAAAACCTGTTCACAGTCTGATCCAATAAAAGTCAGTGAGCTTTGAACCGTAGGAGAGTTAAAGCCCCACTTCTAAAACTTACACTGCAATGATAAACCTGATTTACCTTTCGATCCATGTCAGGCGTGAGCACCACGAACGACTCTGTTATTTCCTCGGCTTCTTCTTCTGCCTGTTATAAAGAACAAAAATAATTTTCAGCATCCTCCTGAACAATCCAAACAATTCCTACTGATGTGAAAGGCCCTTTTTCTGTACAGTAATTGACGTGTTTAATCCCAGAATTAGTGGAATGGCACTCTAAAAAGGGCCCAATAAACCGTCGAAGGGAATCAACAGTATTGTATGGGAAGGTGAAAGATCATGGCAGGGTCTCTTACAGTCTTCACTTGTTACCAAAATAAAGCATCACTTCAGCAGTATGTAGCAAAACGACATTGTACTGAAACGTGTTTGTGTCCAGATACATGTCGCAGCGTAAATACATGTATGAAATAAACGCAAGATTCAGCTCAGAGAATGAATGTACAATGCACAAGTGTATCACGTGGCTGTTAGACAAGTAGCCAAGGGAGAAGGGATCATTTTCCGTTACTGGGAAACTGCCCACCTACCCCTCTCCTAAGCCAACATTAACATTACTTCTCACTTAGGGGAAAATGTTGGCTTAGGGGAGGGGTAGGTGGGCAGTTTCCCAGTAACAACCGGAAATACGTCTGCGGCCGCAAGCTAGATATCAAGTAGCAGAATACCTCTTCTTCATCTTCAAAGTCCCATCCTTTCTTCAATCTCTGCTGAATTCTATCCTTGAGCGCTTGTGTTTCCTCATCTCGCTGTGATAAGCAGGTAAAGAAATGACGATATAAAAGTGTTAGTCTCAAAGAAGGCCGTTTTTTCTAACACATACTTCTGAGTTGCACTAAATAATATTTGGACAACTGTCAAATCACATCTTCTGCCGGCCACCAATGAAACTGTTTTAGAAGAAGAACACAAAAATTTAGCTTGGAGTGAGTTGATAAAGTAATATTGCCATCATGAAGCGATTTAGAGCTGAGATTTCAAGTGATAACCCTTTGTCAGAGCGAGAAATTAGCATCTCCTTGTAGTTTCTTTTCAAGTCAAGGCTTACCTCGTTCGTTCGCGCGAAACAAGGCAATCCTGACCTTAACCCTAACACTAGTTACAATAAGAGCAGGGGGCATTCTAAGGAAACAATGAAAAATGGCGGCCAAGGAGAGACACAGGTCACCTTTTTAAAACTACAGTACAGTTATGCAGGCGAGGGTAAAGAAGGCTCCCATCCTCTGAAAACACATTGCTAACGTGAAATCCAATGAAATGAGTTTAGCACTGACCTCGTGTTAACGAACTCACCTTTTGTTTTATTGCCTTTAGCTTTCTTTCTTCACGAGAAATTTCCCGCTGCCTTGATAAATTGTCATCTGACAAAACATCTCTCCTGTGAACAAAATAATAACAGATGACACGGCTGCTAACATGTATAATAAGGTAAAGCTTCTCAAATTCATTTGACTTCGCCTACATTGTGTATGCATGATTAGAAAGTTGAAATGTTTGCAAAACAGTTAACCCTTTAAGTCCCAATGGTGACCAACATCAATTTTCTCC